TTCAGGGGAATCAATGTTCAGATGTGCACAGACATTGGGTGCAGTTCTAAAAAGTTTCCTGAGGTCACTTCAAATGTCCTCACTAATGTATATCGAAAAAGACCCAAGATAAGAGCTGGAAGGCTCCGGAACCACCAGACCGTGGCAGCCCTGATATGAAAATGAGATTTATTTTTCCTCTCCTATTAAACTGTGTTGTAGCTGCTCTCTCTCTCTCTCTCTCTCTCTCTCTCTCTCTCTCTCTCTCCTCTACACACTTATTTGTAAAACTTTACACGAGTGACTCAGCTCTCTATGTTTGCCCGAATTTAACAAATCATCAAACTGAACCTTATTCAACTTTGAAGATGGTTTTTCTCTTCCTAGATTCCTACTTCTATATGTTCAGGCAATTTCCTTACTTTCATTCCTGCATCCCTCCTCCAAACTCACATCTTTTATTTGTTGACTTCAGCACCGCTGGGCTGCTCTGCTCTGTCAGTGTCACAGTGGGAATCATCGCACCAGTTGTATTAATACTATTTGGAACAACCTGCGGTGTAGCTGTGACACAATGAGACTGATGCTGTTCCCTCACTATGTTTCATGGTTTCTTTTAACTTTCCACCTCTATTTTTTTCTTTTCCATCTCTGGGGGTGACACGGGGTGGTGAGAGGACACGGAGGGCCAGTGTGGGTGATATAACTAAATGGAAATATTGCAGCGCCTGACACCGGTCAACCACTATGAATGGTGTCAAAAAGGGGAATTTGTCCTCAGTGGTTAATAAAGTAATAAACGAATGACACTCAGTAGAGCTCATATGTCTGCCAATGCCCAACAGTCCCCTTAAATTAAATCAAGCGGCACCTAATTGTACACTGTCGTAGATATGAATCACCAGATCCATGAATTATAGAACCACAAATTATTATCAGTAAAAATTTAAAGGAAAAACCTTTTTGACTCGATCCACACCAAATTTCTTGGCCCATGTACCATCCTCCTTGGAAATCCATATAGGTTGTGTGTTATCCTACTGACACACAAACAAACAAACAAAATTGACAGTGAAGAAAAGATAAGCTCCCTGGCAGAGGAGGTTAAATACTTTTTTTTATTTGTATTTTATCAGCTTTGGAGATCCCCCTGAAATGCATTATTGCTGAATGAAATTACCGACGGACGCACAAACATTGAATTCGGTTCAAACATTAACGTCAGCCTTGAGATTAACTGCAATCATTTTTGTGATTTTAAATTTGGGTGAGCAGGATTCTCAGGTCAATTTTCCACTGTTCCTCTTTGACCGAATACCTGTAAAACTAATAAAGTCCCCTTTCGTCTGAGCTGCTGTTTGTTTACAATGAGCAGTGAATGCAGTGACTATCACTGCAAAGCAACTAGAACCTGTGGATAACTTCAAAAAGCTGCCGTGGTCTCTGCACTCTGTGTCGAGTTTCCTGTCAAAAGCCAAATTCAGTTCTAGCTTTGTGTTTTAATTGCACAGTCTCAAGCTTCAAGTGTTGGTCAGTTGTGAGATACAGACCAACCACACACTGTATAGGTAGCATGGTACAATATAAGCTCATGGATATAAAAGTAAAGGTGTTATTTGACCTGCCTCACTGGACAAAACCCTGATTAAATCCATTCATATAATAGTATATAATAGTCATTTTCTCCTCCCTGCTCTGCCACTGTCCCCCAGCCTCTGTGCTGTCTGAGACTGTGCACTTGTAACCTATGCCTTGCAAGCTGTGCACGTCTGAGGTAACATTGTGGTAAAGAAATGCTTCATCAACTCAATTTCCTCTTAAAGTCTCGTCCTTCTCACCTGTTTCCTCTGGCGTCTTTCTTCTATTTCTCTCTTGCGCCGTCTTCTTTCCTCAGCGAGTATATACAGAGGATATGAAGGTGTAGATTTATGGAGCAAAGAGTTCGCTGGTGGCCACAGTCCAGCTAGAAACTGTGTTTTGTACATTGATTACAGACACAGAAGAATGAGAGAGACGTCTCAATGATGTTCTGGACAGAATGTCGGCGTCCTTGTGGAAGTGGTCACCACTTAATTTGATAATGGATGTAAACCACATGTATCTCACAGCAGCTTAGAGATACAGTTCATTTTTAATGGCATCAGTATTAAATGGTTTCAAGGAAGTATTTCATTGTGAAGGGTTTTAAAAACCTCACGTTTCTACCGTTTAAATCTGGCTTCATTTGCAGCCTTTGTGTGACTCACAGTTGTAACACAGACGCACAGAGGGCTTTGTTTGCATATCAGAAATATCTCCACAAAGCTGTTCGGGTCCTATGAAGAAGCCTGGAGGGCTGCACAATCAACAGCAACATCTCTCTGACGTTTCATCACTTTAGGAACTGGCCATGGACGAGCCAAATGACTTTCAGTCTCCTCCACCCAGACCTGCAGCCATATGTGGCCTGGTTTGAGCAGCAGTGTTCGTGGGGCCATTGGCAGGGTGAGGTGGTGCCCCTCCTGCTCCACTTAATTACCTGTGAGATGGAGTGGTTCCCCCCAGCAGAGGCGTTGTGTCACACTGTGTCAGGGGCAGGGCAGACACGTGGAGAAGAACAGTCTCACCCTCCTCAACTGCCTCTGTCTCTCTGGTCTGATAAGATTAATAATGAAAAAGCAACAGCCGCAGAGAAGAGTCTTTTTAGTGAAGTTAATCTTTCAACGTGCATTTCTCCTTTTCTGCCTTTTTTACTGGTAGTTTTACTGGTTTGATTGTACAGGATTACACAAAAAGCACTGGAAAGTTTACCACGAAACTTGGTAGAGAGATGTGATATCATTCAGGGAAGAAATAATTTAACTTTGGTGCAGATCCGATTCTTTCTATTACTTTTGTGAACATTGCAATATAGGGTGATTTTTGTCAATTTCACAAATTTCCCAGGGAATAATTCATTAGTCTTGATGAAAAATATTTAAGAGAGGTGTGTGTGCAGCTTGATTGAGTTCAAGGGGACTATTGGGCCTTGACTGAGGTATGAGTTCTACTGACTTCTAGTTTTTCAAGTTTCTACATACAGTATTTTGTTAATGATGCCAAATCGTGTGCCAGTACTTAATATTATTTTGATTGCTGTGTAATACAGTGAAAAAGGCTCTTATAGAGTGTCTCAAGCTTCATTAGCGAGCCTCCAGGTCGACTATTGGATTGCACAAAGTACAGAACACACAGGCCTGAGCAGAGCAGTGTAAAGCTGTGAGGGTCCAAACTGAGACAATGCCAGAACACATTAACTGTTGCTGTAGCAACCGTCCCCAAATCAAAGGGAAACTCCAACACTTTAAGAGGTCTCATTTCTCAAAGTGTTCTCTTCCACTGTCTCTTTCTCCGTCTTCTTCCTCCCCCTCATCTTCCACTGAAGGTAATAAGTGATTCATTCATAGAATCATAAGAGTCTCAACTGTGGACACTCACATTTCAAGGAAGATGTGTAAGTTTTGGGACTTTTTGTTAGATTAAAATTCCATCTATTTATCTCTTGCCTGAATCTCTATGTGCAGACAAATGCAATGTGTGACATTGGGAGTTGAACCTGAGCCAAACTCTTGCAGAGTTGCAGTAAATTCAGAATATTTAGGAGACTTGTTTCATGCTTGCAGACTGATAACAAGTTAAGTGAGAATATTTAACATTTGTCTGGACAACAACAACAACAACCTGAATCGATCTGTGTTCTCCAGATAAGAGTGCGGAGTGCGGAGTAACTTGTGTTCTTCGTGTCACTCCATAACACGAAGAACACAAGTTACTACATTTGAAGACTAATGAACGTCTTTTTTAATCAGCTCTGCTAATATATTCATGAGGGATGAGTCCGTCTGCAGAGGCTCGCAGTGTGTCTGAGTTGGTGTGTAGGGTTTTTCTCAGGTGAACAGGGCTGCGCCTTTGGAGACACTTATCACCCACAGCAGAAACAGTCTTGTGCATGCATGCCCAGAATCCTCAATGACTTCAGAGAGACATGCGGCTCAGACAAGAGGACAGTGCTGCTCCTGGACGTGAAGACAACATGGAAAATGGAACCTGTGCAGAGTTTAGTGTTGTATGATGTACTCGGTCAAGTTGTTTGTCTGAATCCATTTTAAAAAGTCATGTTTCATCAATCTATATTGCAAGTAGCTTTCCGATGGGTATTCCAAGTAGTTTTACATTTGGTGTGTAAATTTGGAAAGTGAAGCTGACAGTGTGCAAATTTGGAGGAAAGAGACATGGACGCAATTTCGTTAAAATGTTGTAAATGTGGAATGTGTGTACGTGTAACTGGCAGTTACATGATTCATATCATCCATGTCATCTGTTAGTCTGTTAAACCTCTGTGTCTCAGCAAGGCAAATACAGAGAAGTGGGTGAAAGAACTTTTGAAAAAATCATAACTGTAGAAACACAAAAATGTTTCTAGATAACAATGACAGTCAATTTGTCTGACCTTTGGTGTGGCACACAGACGCACAGACGCCTTCCTCTTTCTCACACTTCTCCTTTACGTGTCTTTAACTCAAATAAAGGAGCTGCACAGCTGAAGATACCTACAAATCAATTGGGCACTGAATAAATGAACTTAAAAACAGTAAAAGTCTCAGTATTCTTTTGAAAGCCAGTTAGTAAAATTAGTTTTGATGTGAGGTTTAAAATCTCTTAACGTCCACATTCTTCAGCATTAGCTTTGCGTCACTTTTAACGTGTGTTTTGCGTATTTTCAGCCCTGACTGAGGCATCACGTCCTGATAGGCTCAGAGAGCAGCGGTGCCACATCCTGCCCACGGAGAGCAGCTTATTTCTGCTGGGGGTGCTCGTCCTGTCCACAGCTCTGACATCCTTCTCGACCTGACCTGCTCTAATCCACAAAGTCATTGTTGCTTTGCTCAACAAGGTCTCGGTCGATCACTTCGTCTGGCTCCGTCTTCCTGAGCCCACATTTGCGCCCTCGCAGCAGCAGCAGCAGCAGCAGCAGCGGGCACAGACAGGCGCGCTATCCGAAAACCTGCCTTGAGAGAAGTGGAGGGGGGGGTTGTGGGAGGTGGTTGACAACGCTTTGCAAGGGGAGGATTGCGACCACACACACATACACACACACACACGCACGCACACACAAACACAGGCTTGTTTACCCAGTGCCGGGCACAGAGGAGCACCGAGGCGCTGCGCACAGCCAGAGAGCGCGTCTGTCAGCGCAATGTCAGCGGCTACAGCTTCTGTAGCAGATGTGTCCAGGACCGACGGAACATACAGAGATGACGGTCGACACCGGAATAACTCAGGTAAGACATGAAATACATGAATTTAATACTTGGGTCGAGTGGAGGTTTGTGCGTAAAACGATGATTTGTTTGGCACTTTGCACTGTTTCACATGGTTTTACATGAAAATATCTTTCATTGAAAACACTGACCCCTTAAAAGAGATCATTTCAACATTTAGTTAGTGTGTGTGTAATAGTAAACTCATATTTCTCTAATAATGTTGTGAAATATATTTATTTAGGGACATCATTTCCATAATACACAAATATGATTGACTTTATGTATTTCAATTACATACTAAATTTCCATGTAACTTTATTAAATAAGTTGAGTTAGTGTGAATAAATCAAATAACTTGAGATTGAATCCATGAAATACATTGTGTGTTTAATGTATATATTTATGAAAAACTGAACAAAACCTAAATATATCTAAAAAAAGTTACATGGAAATTTTAAAAGTAGTTGAAATACACAAAGTCAATTATTTAGGCCTAAATTATTTTTGTGCAGTCAGTATAGAATGAGATGTCTTTAAGTGATCTGGTTTCTGAGACGTGACATGATATACCTAGAAATAATTATTGCATTTTCCCATCCTGCAAACATGAATGCATTTGTGTTGAAATGGAGTCAGATGAGGGGGTTCAGTGAACACATGCATCTCACAGACAGACTGATTCAAAAGGAGAAAAACAGAGAGGAAATGAGAAAGAGGCTCATGGCTGGACGCATCTCACACGCACACCAACACAAGTTATGTAAAAGTAATGATGCTCTGTGCTTGTCGTCAATGGAGTGCGTCCTTGCATTACATAAACCTGAATATGGTGAGCTAATGCTAATGGCCTTCAGATTTATTCCAAATGAGACTTATTGAGTCTGGCCCAGTGTCAACAGAAGCTGCAGTTATTCTTTACAAGGAAATGTGCTCATCTTTCTTTCTTTCTTTATTGAAACCACCATGTGTCAATTAAACAATTTTTTTGGAAGCTATGTCCTCAATCTTTATATACAGTCGACGTTCCTTTCTTCCTTTCATGCATTTAAAGATGAAATGTCTTCACTTGCTCCCAATATCTCGAAACAAAGCCAAAATATCTTACATACGAGTCGATCAATTGCTATACAACCAATCATGAGTCAGTCTCAGCTGTCAATCATGACGGTGTGTTTAAGTACCTCATGCAGCCAGCCACCAGGTGGCAATCAAGATGCTTTGGCTTCACTTTTGGGAGCTGTCACGTCTTTAAATACAATCTATGTTCCATTCTTCCTTTCTATCCATGAAGCCCTGAACTTTTGGCGTGGTGTGGTGGAATTGTGTTGCTTCACAAACTCAGCCTCTCATGCATCCTTCCTTCCTTTAGTTTAGAGGAAAACTGCAACTTCTCTCCTGTGAAAACCAGAAACAGGTTTCCCTCTGTAAACAAGCTGGTTTGGATTTTTTCCCTGGACATGATCACATTATCCTGCAGTTCTGCTGGAAATCACCGAACTGATGTCATGATGTTTGTTTGCATTCCAACAGCTTGTGTCATGATGAAGTGATGCTTAGGTTGTAGAGTCTTTGAGCTGCTGAGACCTTCCCTCCTGTAATATGCTGAGCACTGCACTGTGCTGCATGATAACCGATTGTCTAGCATGACTCCAGATGGCCTGTGTGTTTCCCACCACCCCTACAAGCGTTTTCTTGAATGATTTATCACATGTCCTCCTTCGATAGTGTTAGACTTCCATGCTGGGGATGTTACACAGTCTGAGCCAGTGTTTTGTAATGCAGTGTTGTTCAGCCCTACAGGGGTTCAGTGCTGATAGCTATGGAATAATTGTCCCATTCCACTCTCAGTCTCATCTGCACGGCTCCTATCTTTGTTGTTGTTCATACTGTTCACATTGAATTGTTGTGCTACTTCTGAAGTACATAAGTAATATCACTATTTTTTTGCACACAGTCTGATTTATCACTAACTGACCATCAGCTTTCCATTATAGGTCAGTACCAGGCCCAGTGTACACCCATGCCACTGCCTGCCCTTGGAACCCAGAAGATCATCCAGGGCAATGGCACCAATGTGGGAACAGTCATATTGCTGCAGTGCCCGGCCAAACACAAACTGATGGGAAGAGAGCTAACATGTGTCATGGACGTGAACAGCACCCACTGGGAGGGGGAAACCTACTGTGCACGTAAGTAGAAACATATCAGAGTTAGTACAGTGTAGGATTCTTCAATCTAACTCGATCAAACTTATCAACCACTTAAAACATTGTCTTTTCACACACACACACTCATAGCGATACTATGCTCCGCCTCTTCCATCACACACTGACAGGGGCAGTTTGGGGTTTTTGCATGTGGACTTATGTTGTGGGGACCTAAATCTGTTTGAACATGGGGACTTGTCTTCCCTTTTGGGCACAAAAAGCAAATGAATAGTGTAAATCATTAAATTGTCGACAGTTTTTAACGTTAATATTAAGGTGCAGCAAGTAGTGGTTATGATTAAGTTTAGCATCAGTCTCATGCATGGAAGTGAATGTAATTCAATGGAGTCATGCAGCTTCAACTCAGTGTGTGAGAGATGCTTCTAAATGCTTGTGCCATCAGAACTGCAGTAGCTCATTCTGAATATACTTGTATATCAAACATTATTTGACAGGCATTGTAGCTGTGGGCAGTGTTACAGGAGGACCCTTAAAGTAGTCAGCAATAATTAATGCTCTACATTCTTTGTGAGAACATATTTGAGAGAGAAATGATTTGTTGCTCTGGGATGAAGCTCATTTAAGGAGAATATTCTGAGGAATCATTTTAAGCAGGTGCATTGTTATTATTATTGTGATGGGAAAAAAGAGCAGGGTCAGAACCAGTTATTATGAAAGCGGAAGGTGTCTGATGTGAACTGAAATAATTGAAAATTTCATTTACATTTCATTTCCTTCCCATCATGCACCCAGGGCTCTGTTTTGCAACATGATGATTTTAGCTGTCAATAAAGTCAGCCTTCTTCTCTGTCACTCCAGCTCTGACTCCCTACGAGGACTATGGTTTTCGTGTGGCTGTGTTGGCGTCCATTGTGAGCTCGGCCATTATCCTCCTCATGTCCATGGCCTTCATCACCTGCTGCTTGCTCGACTGCATCAAAGAGGACAAAAGGAAAAAGCAGGAGGGGTAAGTGTGAGAGGATGGAGGGAGTACTCAGCTTATCTTAAGTAAAGGTCCTTCATTTAAAATCCTACTTTAAGGTTCAGATGACTTTTTGGCTAATCTCTAATAACAGCTACTTGCATAAGAATGCAGAAAAATTTAATAGTTTCATACAAAGACTGTTTACCTGTGGGCAACCCTGATCAAAGATTGCTCAAACTAGAAATGGAAACCAGAAGCTTCCTGCCCCAAAACCTTGTTCCTCGCCTCCAGATTTTGCATATTCACATGTGATATTTGTGAATAGATATTATTTTACCATCTTAGAGGTTTCGGGAGGAAATATCTCTTTGATGCAAATCAGAAATATCTGAAACATATCAAAAACACTTTTATTAAAGGTCACATGCCAAAATATTGGAAGCCACAGTAAATGGGATTCTTTATGCACATCTTAATTGGTAAAGTAACTAATAACTACTGTCAAGTCTAGGTAGTTGAATAAAAAGTACAATATTCCACTCTGAAATGTACTGAAGTATAAGTATACACTAAATAAAATGGAAAGACTCAAGTCTGAGTCAAGTAAATCCTCATTAGAAATAGTCAGGAAGGTTTAAACTGATTTTCTTTAACAGGGAGACAGACATGTGGCAGTGGGAAGAGCCGACTCAACATCAGGGGAACAACAGGTCTCACTACAGCCACAAAGGCAGGAACAACAACAACAACACCCAGGAGAAGACGCTCTCTCTGTGGGACTCCCACAACCCAGCCGTGTGTGACAACATGCAGGCCTGCAGGTGAGACATGGGCTGAGTTGGGAGGGAGACATCCAGACAAGCAGATTCACTAAAGAAACATCCTCCTGTCTTTCCCTCCACAGATGTCATCAGGAGTACTCCTATGGACTCGTCTGCACATATGACCACGCTGCTCCGCTCGCTGCTCTACCTGGGCATGACTACGACCAGCCTCTTCTACCACAAAATCCAGAGTCTGTGCAGATCTCCGGTCCGCCTCAGTACCCTGGACCTCCCGCCTCCTACTTTCAAACTCCGAGCCCACACGGGGTCCAGATCTCAGCGGCGAGGCCTGGTCTGGTGTGGCAGTATGGGAGACAGGAAAGCAGCTCTGCAACTGGAGAGGAGTGCAACACTAGGAATTTAAACACTGCCAAAGAATTTTCCATAAGGATTATATCAGTGTGAGGACATGTTGCACAGGAGGTGAATATATTGTTTAATGACCAAATATGTACAACAGTGTTATCAAAGAGGACTATTGGAAGTGGTAACTCAACATTTATGTGTGAACTTCTACAGTGTAATGGCTTTACAGTCTCAGATGAACATGCCTTTTGTTAACTTTAATGGCACACTGCCCTCTGCCTGGCAAGAGAGGCCAGTGCACTTTCAGGACACCGGCCTTGTTTGACGACATGCCCTGTAATTAGAAGCTCCAAGGGATTTTTCTTGACCTCAATCGAGTTTAATTAAATGGTTGCAGTGAGGTTTGCGATTGAGGTGTTTATGGGGACATATAGTTCACAACACACTGAAAGTGGGCGAGGAAGTTCTCTGAAAAACAAATGTCAGAGCAGTAAAAGTTCCCTTTCCCTGCAGGAGGAGAGCAGCTGGGAGGCACTGGACACTGGTCGTGTTTGTAAATATAATTTTCTTAAGGAATGTAAATCAATTAAAGACAATGTGTTGCAATGCAAAGAGAGCGGTCCTGTCCTTCTGATGAGCACAGATGCAAATTACTAGTCAACCTGATGCAGCGGATGCAGTGCAGTGGTTTCGACTGGTCTGTGTGTCGATGTACAGGTTGATGACAAATTGGAGGAAAATGTGAATAAATGCCTGGAAACAAACATAATGAATGCAGATGCTTCCATACAGAGAAGTGAGTGAGTCATTCACTATGTTGATGCAGACTGATGCAGATCATGTGCTGTGACCTTCACAGTCACAAGATCTCAGCCCCTCTGAACGCCTGTGGTTGATTTGGGATTGATGTTATTTGGCAGCGCTCTAACTCCACCGTCGTTAGAAAATGAATGTTGGAAAAAAAGGTGTTGTATAGTTATATATAGTTTCATTGACTTGGAAGAATCAGGGTCAAAGGTCACTAAGGTTGAAGCTTCCCTGTCCAACACCTCACTTTGACTTATAACAGGGATTTAAAGGGAAATGGAAAAGACAGAGGCAACATGTGAAGATCATGATTTTAGAGTCTCCACATAAACTAACATTATTATTATTATTAATAAAGAGGTTATGTTTTCACTTTGTCCGTCTTTTAGCAGGATTACACTAAAACTATGTGATGCATTACCTGATCCAAATCAGCAGGCAGATCCAAGATAGACGTGTTCTCTAATTTCTCAGAGAATTCTTGGTTAAAACCATCTGGCATGTGTAGGGGACTGATATTTACGAGTGTGTGCAATTTGGTGCAGATCCATATTAGAATCTGGATCTAGGGGACTGTTGAATAAATAGATAGACAGATACATAATTTATTGTCATTCTAGCAGATAAAGAACAAAATCAATAGATACACATTATGATGCAACGTTTCTCTTATAAATAATAAATAATGAAGGCCATTGCCATTGTTGTTTGAGATAAATTCCATTATCTGTCAGTCACATTCAGATCTTTAGTTTATGAATGTTTTGTATTATTATCAAATAACTAAAATTAATTATTGCTGAAGCTACACATTGCATTACATGTTTTTCCAGTGTACTCTACTATAATTATTATCATGACTATTATTATTTATTATTATTATCGTTGTTGTTGTTGTTATTGATGAATCTCAGCCATTAGCACAAATGACAGAGTGGGTTGAAATGAAAGATAAATGACAGCGTCTGCTCCTCGGAGCTCGTGTTGTGCTGCTCCTGATAATCTCCCGCTGAGTCTCACTGTCTGCGGCCTGATAATCACCGTCATGTGGCCCTGAGCTCGGTCATGTGGCCCCGGGCGGCGCGGGGCGGCGCGGGGCGGCGCAGCGCTCCAACGTGCTGATGTCAGCAGGGACCGTCACACCGGGGACAACAGGAAGTGTCACACCGGGGGAGCTGCTGCTGCTGCTGGGTGGAGACAGACCTGCCCGTCGACTGTTTGTCAGTATGACAGGTTTGTGAATGAAGGTTGAAGGTGTTTGTCCTGTTGTTTACAGTGAAAGCGTCCACTGTCAGTGTGTGTGTGTGTSWGTGTGTGTGTGTGTGTGTGTGTGTGTGTGTGTCACAGTTTTAACTTTAATTGTACCAGTAATTAATGATACATAATGATTTTTCCTTCATATGAAGCAGTTGAGCTTCACACCATTAGTCCAAGCCTTCAGATATCTGGGAAGAACCCAATCCATTTGGTTCGGATCCGGATCAGTGGGTGTAACAATGTGACGTATAAGGTGTAATTCACAAGTTTCGATAAGTGTTAGTGAAACTACACATTACGTAATTATTGTCCAGGTGATCCTGCCTCACTTTGTTTTTTTGTGTGAGGAGCAACCAAGGTAGCTTTGCATGATGGAAACTATACAGATTAGAGATTAACTGGATGACAAATGTAAACAACACAAGATGAACTGCTACTTCAGGAATTTCTACACAGTTTTGATTTGATTTGATGATCACCTGCAAACACACTTTTTCCCTGTGGGATTTATTTTTCCAGAAAGTCCTCACTCAACTAAAACACACTTCAACACGTAACCTTTTTATCGCACTACCCCCTTTTATCCCCCATTGATCAGGTATCTTTGAGATCTAGGAAAACCTTGCATTTTAAAGATTTGTAGAAAATAGAGCCTCAAAAAACGACAAATTAAACCAGCGTTTTTAAGGCCTGGGCAGTTTATATGTACCACACATTTTACCTTCAAGGGAATTCAAGGTGCTTTACATCAGATATTAAAGGAATCAAGGAGACATTACAAAAAAGGAAGCATTCAGAAAGAAATTTAAAAGTGCCATTTAATCAAACAGTCAACTCCAAACACATCCCACACTTTATAGTGTACCCTATTTTTTGGTGTTTATGCAAACATTTACTCAAACACTATTGCAACTTGATTTTTACATTAGCATTAATCTATTCAAACGAATGTGGCCAAAAGAAGGATTTTGCAGGAAGTGTATTCACCTTCCAAAAGGGAGAATAAACCTCTTAGTTACTTATTTTCAGAGCAGAGCTGATGCCAAGCCCAGCTTACAAAGAAACGACTTACGATCAGACATAAAATCTGCAGAGCTCTGATTAGAACAGGTTAGAAGTTATTAGGGATGAAGTTGACACTGTCTCCTGCTTGTCTCCCTTATTCAATGTTGTCATTTATATCTTCCTTGACCAGACAGTGACTGTTATCATCAGCAGCTCCAGAGAGATGCCCAGTTCCTGTGCTCAGATCTGAGGATGGACACGGAACTTGTTGACAGACTCGTGCTGCAGCTGAACAGAATTTACCCCCAGATACTCAGTGACAAAGAAGCCCGCAGGGTCAGTTCACATATTACATGTTATCAAAACAAGTATGTCCTTACGCTGGAATTGGCTTATTGCATCCACCAAAGAGTTCACGTTTTCACCCCTGTCCATTTTGATTTGTTGTTAAGTGAGATAACGGAAAAACTACCGGACTGATCACAAGGGAATTTGGTGGAAGGATGTAGTATCAGTACATTTTGGTGTGGATCCAGATCAGGGGCAGATCCAGGATTTTTTGTCCCATTTACTCACATTTTAGGTGACTGATATCAATGAGAGTGAAATTTGGTGAATGGATTAAATTGAAGCTGACTCTTGGGCCTTGCTGGAGGTATCTACATATCATTTTTAAGAAGAACAGAAACATATTGCATATGTGCAGTGACTTGATTCAGCATGTGTGTCTCTGCAGTTCAGGAACCTGAGCATACCCACCAAGGTGCGGTTAGCCCAGCTGCTGAAGCACCTGTATGGGGAGGGAGAGGACACATGTCACGAGTTCTACAGAGGACTTCACATTCACGCTGAGGACGTTTACTCCAGCCTGCCCAGCAGAGTCAGACAAAGAGGTAAAACACTGAGAAGGCCGTTTGCTTCTTCCTCCTCTTCCTCCTCCTCCTCTTCTTTTGTAGATGTTCTGTTATAACAGTCAGGTGAGGTACTCTTTTCAAAGGATGTGGCCTTGCAGACTCATATCTGAATAATTTTAGTGCAGAACAACACACTGCTCGTCTAGTATCAGTCTAGACTGAGGTTTTAAAAAATCAAGTTGAATAAGAAAAAGAATATCTGCAAACTAAAATCTGTGAAAATATTGATTTAATATTTAACATTCTATGCGTGAATGCAGACATACCATGCAGTTATTGAGTGCGGAGACAATTAAAATGTGGAGTAGAATGACAGCAGTGTAACTATAGTGATAAAAAGTGTTTCTTGGTAATCAAAGCAGAAGGTGAAGTGTGTGGAATAGTCACATTCCACTGTTCAAACACATCATCTGTGGGTTTCAGACACTCTGAGCTTTGGGTAAGTTATTACACAAATACATCATCAGGTGGTTCGAACTCTGCTTTTCTCTCATGTGCTCTCTGAGTTAGTGCTTATGGATTTTCACATCAGTCCATGGAGATAATGATCATAATAAATCTTTAAAGTTCAAAGAGGGATTTTTGCTCCTGAGTGAAGTTTGTCGTTTTGAACTCTTATTTATGAAGAGGGAATGACTTTACAAATTGGAGGTAAATCATTTATATGTTATAACTCCTCACTGTGCTTACACAATACATTATATCGATATAAATTGGACTTTTGTAACATTGCTATGGATGAAAATTATATCGCAAAGATTATTGATATTGTTTTATTGCCCAGCCCTAAGTGCATCTATCTATAAGTGCATCACCTCTTCCTTATTCGGTCATAATCATGTGAGACACTAAATCTCATGTGTTCTGTAACGGTGGACCCCCTGCTGTGTGATTGCCCTCTCTGGCGTAATGTAGGTTTATCCTCTTTAAGAAGAGAGAAGTTGATGCGCTGCCTGAACCGTAGATGATCCAACTCACCACATGCTGTGATTTATTTTTAGTCTGGTGTTTACAGATTAAACATTTCACTTTCTGTTCCAGAGATCGCAGATCCAACGTGGACGAACAATGTGGCGGTCCACCCAGAGCAGTTTGTGGTCAATGACAGAGGTAAATCTAATAATCTACATGTTTGCGGTTTAAATTGAGTTGTAAATGTAGGTATTTGCAATTTAAGTGTTGGTGTAATCTAAAAAACACACTGGTAGTTATACACATATTCAGCCATTTACGATAATCCACATACTGTATACTTAATAGTAAATTTATATTTTTATATTTTATCAAGAGCCGTGAATTATTCTCTGGGAAAATGTTGAAAAATGCTCGATCTCACAACACAGAAAGTGAAAGAAAAGAATCCTGCATCCGCCCCCTGATCTGGATCTGCACAAAAATTTAATGGGTTCCATGATACCTCCCTGATATCTCCCTGATATCTCCCTGATATCCTTCCACCGAGTTTCACCCAAATCCATTCAGTTGTTCTTGTGAAATATTGTTTACAATCAAACAAACCAACCAACAAACAGACCGGGGTGAAGACATCCCCTCCTTGGATTTTATAGCGGTCAAACAAAAATGACACAGTATTGTGGTGTGAACTGAAACATGTGGCTGAGTGAAATAGTTATACTTCATGAAATAGTGGTCAGTATAGTGCAACGTGAATAATAATTATTGTCATGGCCTTCACCTGTCTTTTGACTCCACATCCACATGTTTCATCTGGCTGCAGGACAGTCAGGGGTGCTGTTGTGGGGATGGTCTTATACAGTGTGTGTGTGTGTGTGTGTGTGTGTGTGTGCGTGTGTGTGTGTGTGTGTGTGTGTGTGTGTGTGTGTGTGTCAGGGCGCCTCTGTACCCCTCACTGATCCTCAGATAAGCCCCTTAAGCCCAACTAAGCTTTGTTCTTCAGCAGACACGGTTGTTCATCGAACCTTTTAACCCCTCGATTCATAGTGTGGGCTCCCATTCATTCATCATCCCATTAAATTCAGGACTCTGGCTTTGTGGGTCAGTTAAACTCACGTGTAGCCCCCCCCCCCCCCAGTTCAAAGCAGTCCTGCATTCCTTTGAACAGTAAGGGGCACATCCACTGGGTCAGAGGTGCGTCAGCAGGGAAACGGGTCATCAGTCGTGTAGTGAGACACTGACTCTGTGCTGAAGTACACTACTGTACATTTATTAGTTCATAACATTTATAGAGATATACACTGACCCAGCATTCACATTTATCATGTCCTCTCTAGTATTTATGTGTACATAGGTTTTATTTATCAAACAGTCACTGATGAGAACTTGATCTCTCCTCTTTCCCTCTGCAGGGCCGATGTTCTTCCTGAGCTGTTTCAGTTTTGTGGCTGGTATCGCGATGCTCTACTATTATGGAGGTGAGTCATTGGCTGCTTTCAGGCACGCACTGAACTCTGAACATTGGTCTGAAATTTTCCAAGGGGCCTTTTGTGAGAATGCAAATGTCCAAGTCAGACACGCAGGTGCTTTAGTGAATACTAAAGTTCTGAATGAGGCCATGTGAGAATACAGAATTGAGAATTGAGATTTTGGTGATAGAGGCTGACGCTGGTGTCAATGTGCTGGACACAAAAACACAGCAGAATTTATACGTGACTCCTACATGTTCTACTCAGATGCCACCCCTACTCTAAATGCTCCAGAAATGTTCCTGTTGTTGATTGTGTCTGACTAGGATATTAATTTTTTAAGGAAAATGTCCAGACCCAATAGTGCAGACATTCTCCTAAGTTCATGTTTGAATAGAGCAGCAGACAACGATGAAGTTGTGGTTATTTATCACAGAGCAGTTGAAATTACATTTGTATATAAAGAATTACCAGTCTACAAAAACAATATCACTATATAGATCATATTTATTTCCTGCTCTGTTTGGGTTCATCATTTCTAAACCACCATGTCCACATTTCTTAAAACTCCTCATTCTATTCACAGGTGGTGAGACACTGAGACGCACCGGTCCGTTTCTTCACTGCTCTGCGGCAAGACTAGCAAGTAAAGGTGCTAAAGATGTTTTAATTACCTATGCTGAGGTTGGGAGGCAGACAAAATGAGTATGTTATGGTGCTGTGAAGTGCTCCCATGAGAAGAGCGAGCCAGGAAAGGTTCCACTTCGTATGCCAAACACATACACACTCAGAGCTGTAAAGGATTTCAGTGAAACTGAACACATTCAAGTACTAATTTTCAGTAAACAAGTACTAACTGTGTTTTTTGTTACGCTGGATGAGGGAGACATCAATCAGGTGCAGTTCAATACACACCCACACAGTCAGGCTTATTGCAGCTTTAATAGAGTGTGTTAGTGCTGTGTATGTTAACACATGCTACATTATATTTGCCTAAACACACAACATGTCCTCTCACCCACTCTCAGTGCCTTCTACTGTGATAAAGAGACTTTTTAATATCTATTGACTGTGTTCAACTTTTGCTCAAATAAAGCACAAATTATTTTTGACATGTCCCGGAAGTGCATCTTATTTCCTCAATCAAAGACTTTATGTTTTCATCTGTGTTTTAAATAGTGTGTATGTTTATTTAGATCATCACAAAACTTGGTAGAAGGATGCATTATGGGTCAGGAAAAAAAAACATAAAGTTTTGGTTCACTTCAGGCATGTAATGAGGACCAATATTTTTGACTCCACATAGAAATCTTGATCTCTTGAATTTAAATGTTGGGTCTTGCCATTCTAGTCTAGTGCTTAATCTGGTGTGACACAATTGACAATGATACTCGTAGAACTATGCATTTTATTATTGTGGTATTGTATTTAAAAAGAAAGTATTACAGTAAACAGCTCTTATCTTTTCGGGTTTGTGTCTCACACTGTTTCGTTTGCTCCTAAACTAAGATGGTTTTTTTTGTGTTGTCAACTTGGAAATGATGATGAAACATTAATCAAAGTAAATCAACTGCATCCAGGGCCCACTAGAGGGCACTGCTCCCTCATTCAGTACATCAAAGGGGGCTTTGAGGATGATGGAAAATGTTCTGGTGTGCTATAACAATGACAATCACTAGCAACAGACAGCCTTCAGTAATTAATAATGATAATCAAATTGATTGAATAAGTTAAGTGAGCTGAAGTAAAGGCTTCTTACTTGACAGCGTGAGAAATTCTTGCAGGGTGGATGCGTTTCACACGTACTTGAGGCCCTTTCAATCTCATAATAACAATTAAGTAGGGAAATATGCACATCTGAGACGATTTGTAAAGTGCAGCTCTGGAGGAGGGCTTCGGTGTTTGATCTCCTGAGATCTGCAGCACTGAGCAGCACTTTTCCATCTCTGTCTTCTCTGCAAAGGGAAGAGCAACAGATGATGAAAGAGCGGAGCCAGAGAGAGGAGGGATGGGGAGGTGCTAGAGGGAGGATGGAAGTGTCACCAGGGTGATTATTCAGTTCGAATACTGGCTTCTAGATCCCCATGAGGTAGAACTATTAATAGTGCGGATTCACAAGACCTGAAGATCCTGGTTGATCATCTGCACCCTCAGATGTTCGACCTCCCACAGAACCACTCTGCTGAACTTCAGGACTGGGAAGGAGCCAGAAGTATAGAAGCGAGATGATATACATTATGTATGCACTATATATCAGTCTGCAGATCTGCCCTGAGTGGAGCTGTGTGTGTGTGTGTGTGTGTGTGTGTGTGTGTGTGTGTGTGTCATCAATCTGGCTCTGTCTGACTGTTTCCACGGTTACCAATGATAGTTGTGGAGGAGGGAAAGGATGGAAATGGTGACGTCGGTGTGTCAGCTGCAAGGTACTTTGTCAGAGTCACGTTGATGAAATTATAGATCTGAAACATGAATATTCTTCAGGTACTTAGCAAATAATTATGTGAAACCGATGGCGCTCACATTCTTGTGTAAAGCTGCTGAAGTGTAAAAAATAAGCATTTGCTTGGGCTCTAATTGGGGTTTCGTGACATGGCTGAAACACAGTCTAATTAAGGCTTCCGTTTTAACAAGCAGTTCTGGGGTCTGTGCTGCGTTGACTCACCAGCTGCTGTTGGCACAGATAACCACTTCTGCTCTGCTCGTATAGCAGAGGGAGTCATGGCACAACCAAACATTGTTATAATTGAATGTTAGGCACAATGCCTGTGGTTGAGGACAGATGTGTTGGACAGGTTAATGCTGTGGAAGTGGGTCAGAGATTTGAGTCACACCCTGCCCTGCATACATGTGCTCAGCAAACCCATGAAACCTCCTGGTCAGAGCTGTCTGGAAAAGCACCGTGACATCTTGCGCGAACGTCATCAGTGCGATTAAAAATTGAAGCCTCGTCTGCTGTCAGTGTGTGTGTGTGTCTGTGGTTGTGCATTTGTGTCTGGCCGGTGTTTGGGGTCACTCTCGGGCAACAAAGGAGACAGTGTACCTGACTGCTGGTTTCTCCACTTTCCTGTTTGTCCATTATGGGAACAAATGTTATGTTGTGCACAAACCAGACCCCTTTGTCAAACTTTGTCTGTTTCTCTCTTGCTTGCTGTTCTCTGTAAGGACAAACATTTTCTAGTAAAAGAAAAACGGTCAAATTTTCGTTTTAGTTTGTTTTCTGGTGGAAATTTCTCTGCGGGCCTGGAGAGGTCAGTGTGTTTGTAGGTCAGGTAGGAGGATTGTAGGGGTCAGGTCAGGCGAAGAGAGGTCCAAAAACATGCTGACTGCACGGATGTCTATAGGAACAAACTGCACAGTAAGGCAAGAGAGAAAAAAAACCTGTTTGTATAGAGAGATGGGAGCAGAGACAGAGGGTGAAAATAAAGAACTTTTATGACGAGCAAAAAGAGACGTAATACCTGTGAGTTAGTTCTTGGCTCAGTCGTTGCCAGTCGGCCGGTTCACTCCAAAGGCGGCGATGAAGATGTTGACCACCACGGTGATAAAAACCAGGCTCGTGACCAAGTTTTCCATCGTGTCCAGCCTCCTATGCTTTCGTTCATCATTCAGATTCCATCGAACTGTGGACAAAGCAAGGAAACCAACTTCAGCAACACACTAACACACACACGCTCTAATAAAACATCACCAATCGACTTCATTCTGGGACTCAAGCCAACTCATTATGACACGCAGATTTACTGTAAACCATAAATCCATATATACTTAATTCTGGGTTAGGGGAGTTCTCATGTCCTTGAGTGATTCCACAAAAATGCAGAGTATCAAATGTTCATTTTGACAAGTACTCAAGGATAAAGGAGTAATAAGGTGTTTTCAAGACATTTTCATTTCATTTCAAAATGCTACATGGGTAGTTTGAGGCAGGAAAATAATATTCAATTCAAAAATACAAAATATCTCAATATAAGAAATAAGTTGACATGATGATGTAAGAAAACACAATTTCTTTTGATATTTTAAATGCACAAATAAGTTGAGTTTCAGAAATATGTGTATTTGTGTAATAAAGTCTGTGTATTTGTTGCATGTCGCCATTAACACATACAAAGTCTTTACTTTCTATTATGACTCTAAATATTTCTGATTCAAAAAACACAGAAAGAACAATACAGGGAAGAGAGAAACAGATGATGGGAAGCTTTTGTTTCCTGATTCATATCATTTGTGCTAATCGAACACGATGACAAATACGCAACTAATCCATGATGTGATAATTGATTGTTACATATATTTATTAAAGTTGTCATCTTTATCATTACAGGGATGGGCCTATAAGTAATGTTTTCTGGTTAATCATGACATTTTAAGCTTGTGTGTGTGTGTGTGTGTGTGTGTGTGTGTGTGTGTGTGTGTGTGTGTGTGTGTGTGTGTGTGTGGGCGTGCGGGCCTGCGGGCCTGTGTGTGCGTGTTGTTTTTGTGATTCACAGGCACATGACTATTTGTACGTGCATGTATGTGTGTATTTGTGGGATATAACCAAAGGTTAAACGGTGTAAAGACCTTGCCCGTGTGTGTGTCTGTATGTGCCCTGGCTGGGGTGGGTTTGGCGGGGGGTTATGGGGGTGGTATGTAGGCCACTCACATCACGCACCACTGGTTCCATTAGACAGAGCTGGATCCACGGGAGAGAGGAGGAGGGCAGAACCAGGAGGGGAAGCAGAGAGGGTGCAGACCAATCAAAGAAAATGAGGAACAGAAGTGAAAAGAGCAACAAGAAGGAGATGTGTGATATTCTCGGTTGGGGGTTGTTGGAGGAGGGGGCAGTGGAGTCGGAGGATTTGGTGAATGGAGGGTGGGGGATCGTTCATAAATGTGTGATGACACTCACATGCCGACCAGCCTTCGCTCTGACATGTGAGCCTTAAAGACACAGGAAGTTAGAATCAGAATTATGAATGATTCTAATAATAAAAGTTCACTCATAGGAATGTATAAATGAAAAAATAGACACGTGGTGATGGAGAGGATACTGACATTATTAACTACGCCAAGAAGTTATGTTTCATTGGTTTGTTTGATTTTTAGTTCACAGGATTATGAAAAAAGTACTTCCATGAACTTTCCAGGAGAGGTGGGGCCTGAACCAAGGAAGGAGATCCAGATTCAATTCAATTTCAATTAAACTTTATTTGTATAGCACCATAACATGACATTAATAATCTCAAGGCACTTGATATTGTGTATGCAATTTGGTGTAGATCCGAATAAAAATAAATATGGATCTGGTCTAATTTATTAGAGGGCGAATCCAGGATTTCTTTTACTTTCTTTTGAGATACAGTGTGTTTTTTGACATTTTCACAAATTTCCCAGGGAATTAAAGAAGGATCGTGATGAAAAAATCAGGCATATTTAGAGGACTGATATCTATGAATGTGTTCAATTTGGTGCCGCTTCACTGAATTTGTTGGGCCTTGGTGGAGCTATGCACTCTCTAGTTCCTTTATTTACTCCTGCAGCTACAGCTGAGATGAGTCAGTGTGACTTGGTTAAAGTTCACCGACCTGCTGTTCACTAGACAAAATGAACTGCACTAACATCTTTCCATCTGAATGGACCTGTTTTTCCAAACAGCAGTTGTGGCTGTGTAACTGCAGACTGCATCTCTGGATGTGTGATTTCTTTTCGTCATTTTCCATTTACACCAAAACACCCACTGACACGTTTCTTCACTCCACAACAGAGAGAGAGAAAACATAATCACCTTCCGTTCCCTCGACTACCAGCAGCTGTAAACGCATACGAACTCTGACCTTGTGTCAGGCTTGGTTACCATGGTTACCGGCTGGTAATGGTCTGTTTGTTGAGGAGTCAGTGGACTTGACATTGACAAGGGGGGATGCGTCGTATGGGGCAAAAGGTGATGTGTGGTGGGCTTCAATCTTGCTGGAGGTCAGGATGGATGGAGGAGGGGATGAAACACAGGTGCATGTTGGGAGATGTGAAGCAAAGTGGCTGACAACAAAGACCACCTCTAGTCTAACAAAGGGGTTCGGCCTCTGTGTAATTCTCACCTATGAAGATAAGCAGGACCCCGACTGTGACCTGCAGACAGAGGGAGATGCTGATTAGGGTGATGATGGGGGTGAAGAAGGAAATACGCGGCCCCTGCTCCAGCACTGCCTTCAGCTGGGAGGCGTTTGCCATCAGAAGAGCCACATCCAGCATGCTCTCAGCTGCACTCTTCTTATTGACATAGTGGTTCATATTGAGTGGGGCTGGGCCTTCAGGCAGAACATCTTCATGGGAGGTCTGGGAGAGATGAAAGTAAATGACATGGAGAAAATGTCTATGGCTTTGAGATAACACCTGCAAGAAGAATACCCTGAAAGATTAATAGAGAGGCATGTTCTGTGCTGTGGGGATTTCTCCCAGTAGAGCACCAGGGCAGCATGTTGATGACACTAGCAGTAATTTTGTGCTTCCTGTGCAGTGATGGTGAGGGTCTGGTTATCGTTTTTACCTAATTAGCACAGCGAACAGCCATTTCAGATGAGTGACCTTTGAAATAAGAGCCATTAGTACAGCAAAGCGATTCAGACACGCTGGTAACAGACCCATTAAGAAGTGGTGAACATGACGAAGTCAGCATGTGACCTTCCTTCGGGAGGAGGGTCACATGCCACATAGGGTGTCCCGACGCCTATAGTTTTGGAGCCACTGCTCTATATTATAAAGCTAATATGACATGCCTGTATGTTTGGCCCTGCTGTGATATGTACCAGTCCCCCTGTGACCCTCCAAAGATAAGCAGTGTAGCCAATGGATGGATGGTTGTATATTATTATATTACATAAACTATGAAGCAGTGACTTCAAATAGAGGAGAGTGATTTAGGCTGCATCCGCTCTATGACATAACACGCGATAACTAAAAGCACTTCTTGTAGAGACAAAAACATGGTCCAGGATTAATAGTGTGTTTATTAATTAATAAGAATTTAAACTTTATTTTTCCTTTTGAAGTGATGAATACTGATCTTCATTTGGAGTACTGAGGATGCAAAAATATCCACTTGGACCATGCTACCTCACCAACACCAACGCTGCAGCTTCTGTCACGTCAAGGCCGAAAAACCTATTCACCCTCTGCAAACATGAAATAATCAGCAGCGCTCACAGTCTTTTCCTCCACTCTAAAGCCTCCTCTTTTTTTTCTCACAACACAGCCCTGCAGCTGCTGAAAGTGTAGTTTGTCAGAGGAAAACCTAACCACAAAGCTGGTGGGAACTGTCTGTCCTCTACTCTAGGGATGGAGACAAGAAGAGACACAAGAAGAGCTGCACCCTCTAATTTGCTACAGGGTAGGCTACAGCTGAATTACAAAGTCTTCAGGAGATTCTCAACTATCAGCTGGCAGAGTTAAGTTGATGTATGAGAGCAAAGAACAAGCTGTACCATCCCTGTGGTTTTAGGGGTTGGAGAAGGACTTGTACTCTGCAGTAATTATTTTTGATTTGGTCACTCGTAACACAAGACATGTTTAACTCTTTTAACAACCCATTCCTTTTCAGCGAATGTGGTGACATGTGTTACAGGCCAAATCCTTCATCCAGCAACAGACCTATTAGTTTTGATTTTGTAATTTGGCATAGCTTCATGGAAACACTGGAGAGACATCCTGACAACACACAGAATAAAATATCTCTTTGTCTCTAAATCCATGGTACATTACAACTCATATTAAATGGCTCCTCTGAACATGTTTCATTATATTCCATGGGAAAAAGCATGTGGAGTAGTGCAGTGCCCTTGTGACTGTGATTTGTGTGCCAAACGCTACAAATGGCACACTGTCATGACGTGTCAGGGTCAGCCATTCTGCTCTCGAACACAAGTTTTTTCAAAGAAAGCCCTTTATCCCAGAGTCAACAGACCACAGTGAGATAATGCTTGTTGTGAGATCACAGGTTGGAAACGTGCAGTCAGGACGTCTGGAAGCACAGCACATGAATTTTCTTCAAATGAAACCCTACAAACATCATGAACTTTTTTCACGTACTGTATACATGATTCTTGTCTTGTGTACACACCAGGCTCAGATACAGAGTCCAAGCTTTTTGTCAGGATTAATCCTGCTGTCTACTCATATCATATGGTTGATGACATAGGACAATTACTCACAACAGAGGAAAGCTAATAGAACATTTCAGCTGTGGTATGAAACACTGTTACATGGGGTGAAAAAAATGACACATCTGATCCAGGCATATTACCTCAAACTGAAGATAACCACATTTGAATATCTGGACTGACTTTGGTTTCCTCTTTCTAAAACAGGGCAGTTATCTGTCACACAGCCATTCTGTGGATCTATTGTTATTTTTGCACAATCTAAAATGAAAGGTCTTCATTGAGGTAATCGCTCTCTGCTGGTCCTGGATTTCATTGCTTATTTTTGTGATGAATTATTCACACTGCATTCCTGGTCTGAAACAGACTCTGGGGACATGAGGAGGAGAGAGAACGAGGGGAGGAGGAAGAGAGGAGGGAGGGCAAAGTTGTTTGAATTTGTATTAACTCTCAGTTATGAGTCACAGTGATAATGTCTCACATATCCTGCTTTCTATGATCGCATCAGGTGTCACTAATATTAGATATATAATAATATAGAGAAAAGAAATCAAATTGTTCAAATAATTTATTTATAAAGGATTTCTTTAACTGATTTATGTTGACCAGCCATACAGACAAATAAAGATGTATTTAAATAGTTTAAATGAATACTAGATGATAAATAATTCCTGGAAAATGGACCCTAGGATATGGTCAATATTATTATTGTAACAACTAGAAGGCCACTCAGTGATCACCTACCTCCACCAAGGCCCAACAGCCCCACTTAGGAAACCACAATGAAATTCACCTGATCTGGATTTTCAGTAAAGTAGGTAAAGCACAAAGAGATCAGTCAAAGCGGGTCAGATATTTAAATGGTGCCAATTCATGCAACGCTTTAAAAACAAATGAGAAAGACTGATCCTTAACATCCACCTCCTCCCACTTCCATTTCTCTCATGAGTGGATAAAACTACACCCCCATCATAAATAGCTACCTTAATGTGTGCAAGAGTGAGCTGCAGTGCAATTGGAAAGGCTGTAACATCTAAATATCCAGAGATTGAACCCAAACTGTGATTCCAACTGAACCATAAAAAATGATTTTTACTTTCAAATCAAAGGCCAAATCAAAGTTCTGGCTGACTTCCAAACCAAAGAAATAAACTCGTTCAACTTGCACACCTAATCCTAAACTTCTCCCCTTTTCCCACATCGTCACACTAGCTGATGCCGTTAAGCTACATACCTACATGTCAGTTACTGAGACTGCTGCTTTGAAAGGCTAAGCCCTGTATCTAACATGTGGAGAGATCTTTGCAGCACCAATACAAGACACTCTGCATTTATTATTTAGCTAATTGAACCTGCAGCAGGATGAAAAAGCAAATGAACTCACATCTGTAACTGTATGGGCGTATGTTTTTTTTTCTTATACATCAGCACTTCCTTGATTACCATCCATCATGTCCTATCAGCAGCCTTCCCCTCTCTCTCACCTCAAACTCTGGCTCTCCTCCAGATGAGGATCGACCCAACTGTAAATCTAATTTACGTGATTCTCTGTAGGGCCTTTAGTTTTACAGCCTTACACAGTGTAAAGCAAACATGGCTGTTTCAGATCATACTCTATCCTGTTATGGCATTCAGAAAAGTCTGCAGTGACAAAAAAAAAAGACAAAAGGACAAGTTCAAGAATGTGCTATAGTGCTGTGCTGAAATCTGACACACAATCTGATTGCTCTTAGATTTCAGTGTAACACAGCACCGTTATTAAAAGCCAGTGGAAAGTCTGTATATAAGATCCGCACCTCGCAAAACAACAACCGTGGATTGATTCCACTCTTATTGACTCACACTGATGGGAGACACATTGCAAATGAGACCGATTGCTCATTTTATCGAGCGTAATGGTATTACATTCTGCATCTGCTGGCTGAGCTCTGACAGTCACAGGGATGTATCTGGCAGCCAGGGCCTCTCTCTCTCTCTCTTCCTCCTCGTCCGCTCTTCCCCAAACACACACGCATCCATCTGAAATTAAATGGACAGTGACTATGTAGATGACACAGGGAAGGGTATTTCCTTGCCCTGTAAAACTGGATGCAGCTCCGAACTAATGTACATTGCAATTACTTGTCAAATGGCAACTTCAATCGCCACTTAAAACACAATAAACACACAGTGTCCTGCCACAGCCTTGTTGTGGCACGCAGTGGGATGACATTATGTAAAAGTAAACTCAGTGTGCGTGTATGTATTTGTGTGCGTGTGTGTGTTGGAGTGTGCATTTTGGCCAGTGAAATGGAAACAAAGGAGGTTATTCATAATTTATAAGGTCACTCAGGTGCCAACAGTGCTTCAAGCCTCATCTGAACCAGACTGCTGCCATCTGACCCAGCATGCCTGCAACAGACATGGAGCTGTCTGTTTGAACGTTTTCCTTTATTTACTTGATTCTGTGTTTACATGCGATGAATTCAGCGTTCAGCAAACTTTCTGTTTTTGAGTTAAATAACCTTACATCAAAATACAGCTTTAGTCGGCTGTTGCTGATGCATTCAATTCAACTATATTGAATTAATGCTCTTTGCTATCCTGTCCATGGACTTTTTGGATCAAGTATCCGCACTATTTTTCGATTCCAATTAACAATCACTTGTAAGAAGGCAAGAAAGAGAAACTTGAGAACTATTGCATCCCAGCTTCACTGCTAATAATGTGTCTTTGGTTTCTTGCAGCAGTAAGTCGAGCACCGCACAACTGAACATACCAAATTCCAACCATCAGTCTTGCACACAGACAATCTTGGCACAATGGAGTATTTACTTTTCCTTATTAAAAAGGTATTAAATATCTTACCTCGGCCCCACTTCTCCTGCTCCTGCTGCTGATGTTCATCATTTTCCTATATGTGCACGATACTGCACCCCACCCCTCACCTGCAGGCTGCAGCTCTGGGTAACTGATCTGCAGAGTGGATCATGTTGTTAGGGAAAAGTAGACCTGCAGCTACAGAACCTACTTAACATAAGTAGCAGATGCATTTGTTGTATTATGGTGCCACGACAACTGTGATTATGATTTTTTCTAGGATATTGTGTTGTGCATGTGGGACACACAAATCAAACACACACACACACTTGTCCCCATTACTTCAGAGGACATTACATTGATATTCTGGAGCCTTACTCTAACCTTAACCATGTTACAACTTGCATAACTCCTAACTTTTTTTGCTAACCTTAACCTAAATTACAAACCTTAACTTTAACTTAAACCTTAACCTAACATAAAACATGCCTTTACCTTTAAATTTCATGATTTACAAAGCTGGGATTTTTTTGTCCCAAAGGAAGACGACTCCCCATAATGTAACTGTGTAAACAAATTTTGGTCCCCAAAGAATGAGTAATACCTGGACCACACACACACACACACACACACACACACAC